CTCTCTCCTCGCCTCTGCCCCCCAAATCCCTGGAATAACTCCGGTGCCTCCGGCCGGCCCCGGCACCCGGCAGGGGAAGCGGAGCTCTGCCGGCACCGGGAAGTGTGGAGGAGGATCCGTGGTAGGTGCAGCTCCTGGGAATCAGGGGAGCTGCTGGAGAGGCAGCAGTGTGAGGGAGTTGATGTGCACACACGGAGCAGCGAGGAGCAGTCCGTCAGGAAACGGGGAATGCAGAGAGAGCCCTGCTCCGCTCCTCCGTCTGCCATTTTAATTCCGACTCCAGAGCCGGCTGCCGGCGTTGGGTTTTTCACTACAACCAAAGCTGAAGTAACCACGATTTTTTTCTCCTCGCAGCGTCTGAAGAGCCTGAGCTATTTTGGGATTTGTCTGTACTACACTGAAAATGACACCTGTTACGCACAGACACAAATGAGAAAAATTACAAGTTCCTCTTCCAGGATCCTACAAAAAATGGGGTGAGATCCCGTGGGTCAGGGCGGGGTGAGCAGCACAGGCTCTGCTGTGGGGTGAAGGGGATGACCCCGATGAACTGAGCAAATAGCAGTACCAGAAATGTAAAAAGTCTGTAGTAGCTGATGCAAGGGGAAATCAAGCCTCCATGTGACCAGAAGAAGTAGTGCATGATCAACTAAATGCCACAATACATGGTTTCTTATGCAATCGAGCCCATGGGACTCCAGGCCTTACACATCCACTTTGTGGCCAAAGCTGCAGGGATTAACTCCTTCCTTAATGACTGGGAGCGAGCTCAGGCTCCCGAAATGAGTCATCCCCCCGAAGCAGGCCGGGTTTTGCTGAGACACGGAGCTGCCTGTGCTGCTTTCAGTCCCCCCCGTTCTCTCGGGAGCCCCGGCACGCGGCACCGGGGCGGATTTTCCGCGTTCCCGCTTTTCCCCGGCGGTTTGCGCCGCGCCGTGCAGGCAGCAGAGGCCACCTCGAGATCCACGGAGCTCCAGAGCGAGATGAAACGCTGGGAGCCTCAGAAATGGGGCAGTTCACCGATGCTTTCAGCTCACACCGCTTCTGTCAGGCCTGCGGTGCGTTAAGGAGGTGAAACCAACTTTGATTTATTTCAAATGACTCGTTCTGGTTGCTTTCAGGGGAAATGCAGCGTTTATTTGATGGTTTGCTTTCCTTTGAAAATCAGCAGCCCTGGAATGTTTCTATCTTTACCTGTCTCTAGGTTCTTGCTGGTGACACTCAGGCTCCCAAGAGCTCAGAGCTGTGCTGCTCTGGGGAACAATCAACCGTGTAAGAAATCTTGGGGCAATGGAAAACTTCAGCTCTCAGGCCTGAGTGAAGAGGCCTAAAAACATAAAGTCATTTTCTGACACTCTTGGCCAGGATTCGGCATTTTCTGGTTCAAACATCTTTGACATTCCATATATTTCCATATAAAAATCTAGGCTGCATTTCTGGTTTCACTGGAGCCCATTTCCATGTGTTGCTACTGGTTTGAATTTGGTTTTTTTTATTTTTCTTTTCCTCACAGAATTTGAAAGTAGGAGACAGAGCTGTGGTTTTGTAAGAACCAACTATGAGGGTGTGAAGTCCTGGGCTAGAAAGAAGGCTTGGAAAATAATGGTGAATAATGGAGAATAATCCATGGCCATGGTCTGAGACAGGGGAGATGGGTGTCACCATCGGAATGGCAGGGCAGGAATCTCTTCCCAAACTGGATGTGAGCCTGTGGCTGATCACAGCTGGGCTCTGAGTGCTTACTGTGCTGATTAATAAAATAAACAGTTTTTACAGTGCTGGACATTGTAACAAGATCTCAGGACTTGCAACTGGGCTGCTTTGGGCTGGATGTTTGGGGAAAATACCAGTTTTTGAGGAGGGAGGGAGGGGATTGACCCTCCACTGGCAGTTCCCCCAGCACCACGAAAGGGTCAGGGAGTGATTCCTCAACCTCCAGAGGAAGCCTAAAGGTTCATCCTCGGTTCTCCAGCGTCTCCCGTGCGAGTTTCTGCTGCCATGACCTGAACAGCAACAGCATATGGAGCCTGACACCCCCCAAATCTCACCCTCATGCCCATCATTATTGCTGCTGGGGGTGATAAAATAACCTGAGAGAGGCCCTTGGTGTTTTGAGTGCTGAAGGAAGCCCTCGTGGTTCTGCCGGGGAAGCCTTGGCTCAGCTTTGGGTTTAAATGCCATCGGCCACACCTTCCCCCAGCGCAGGAAGCACGATTGTTAAAATCAGGGCATGTTCCTGTTGAGCTGAAAGGCTGAGATAAATAATCCAAAGGCCTCGTTTATGCCAAGTGAATTCCTGCCCGGGCCGGAGCAAGTCCGGGCAGCTGTAAATCTGTAACCCCTCGACCTCGGCAGCCTCGCGAGGGGAGGCTTGGCACATCCCCTCGGGAGTGGCTGGGCACAAACGGAAGGAGCAAAGAATCGGGCAAAGGTGGACAGGGCAATGGAAAAGTTTCTTCACTTTACCGACCCAGAGGCTTAAAAGCTGCTTTAAAATGCAGAATAGTCAGTTTTTCGAGTGCTGATGTGGGGTAGGGATACCTCATCCTTACAAAGGATCATCCCTCACTGAGGGACAGAGTCACAACAAATATTCAGCTTTTGGTTTTTTTCCAAAAGCTTTATTGTTTTCCAGAGAAGCTTCTTTAGTGAATTCCAGAGAAATTGCCAGTGAGTCCTTTCTTTACCAGCCCAGCAGAATCCCAGAATGGTTTGGGTTAGAAGGGACCTTAGAGCTCACCGTGTGCCACCCCTGCCATGGCAGGGACACCTCCCGCTGCCCCAGGCTGCTCCAAACCCCATCCAAGCTGGCCTGGGACACTTCCAGGGATCCAGGGGCAGCCCCAGCTGCTCTGGGCACCCCGTTATATCTGGAACACCCTGCTGCTCTCCCTGGAGTCCCAAGAAAGCAGGAGGAAGAGCAGCAGGCAGGTGAAGAGCAATAAACCCCTTGGCAAACAGTTTTAAAGGCGATTCCGTGCGTCTGTTTGGGTGTGCACAGCTGGCAGTCCCACAGAGAGCGGGCTGGGGGGCTCAGGGTTCCCCTCGGGAATTGTTGAAGGGAATTGTGTGGAGCAGCTGGTGCCGAGATCCAAAGCCGGCAGTGCCAGAGGTGCGGGGTCCTCGCCGGGAGCTGTCGGGGATGTGTTGGCTGTGCTGGCACTGGGCAGTCACATTGGCATTCTCGGTGCGAGCCCAGCCCGCGGCACAGAGCAGGCACCGAACTGGGAGCCCGCAGGTGAAAACCTGCCCCTCCCTCTGGAAACCTGCAATTTTTCCTGTGCAGTCTAAGAAACCCAGCCGGGAGAGCCGGGATCCTTTTCCAAAAGGAGCATGAACATCCCAGCTGCTTCAGAGAGCCTCGCTGGACGGGCCGTGGTGGGGTCGGGCTGCGATGTTTGGGATGCCCGACCAAGAGCAGAATTCCCGGCTGGCACAGGGACCCCTCACCCCCGGGACCCCCAGCGCTGGCAGCGGCTGCGGGGGCAGCTTTAGCTCGGCTCCCGATCCGAGGAGCCAACAAAAGGAATTATTTCAGCTATTAGCTGCTAAGAATAGAGCGGCGGGGGTGCTGAGGTGCCCGAGAGCGCAGCCGGAGGAGCGGGGATTGCAGGGGAACAGCTCGGCACTCGTGAGTCAGGAGCCAAAGCCGGGCAGAACCGGCCTCGGGCTGCGCTTTGCTTCTCCATCCTCCTGCTTTTCCCTGCGGAGCATCTTCCCAATCCTCTGCGGGAGGAAAAGCCCGCAGAGCCGCGGTGCCTGCCCCGGGTCCCGCTCTGGCACGGCCGGGGGGATTTGGGAGAGGCAAACATTCCCGGCCCGGAGCAGTCCCTTGATGTCGGGCCAGCGGTGTTCAGGGTGTTTTCCCAAGTGCTAATCTCGAAGTTCCCTTTGCAAATACCTCATAAAAGGTTAAAGACACGCAGGTATTTAAATGCGGGGTCAGTAAGTGGTGAGGTGCTCAGGGATGGCTTTAACACCTTGTCCTGCTGCTGTTTAACAAAAATCCTTTTGCTATCGCCGCGTGTTTTTATCCAAGATAGCTTGGAAGAGGCAATTTTCCTTCTGTGCTGTTTGTGCAGCGCAGGGTACAACACATTCCTGATCCATGACGAGGTTTCCAAACTCCATAGTAAAATGAATAATAATGATAGTAAACGTTGTATAACTTCTTTTTTGTTTTTTTTTTCTTTAATACAACAACCTTTGTATTACTTCAGTGCTGGATTTTCCAGTTATTGTACGTGGGGGGGAAAGGAGTTTTTTAAAAAAAGAAACAAAAAAAAAGAATAACAATGAAATGGGGAAAAAAAACCCCAAACAAATAAATTCAAGGTTTGTAAGAAGAGAAAAATCAGTCCTGGGTGCCGCTGCAGAAAGAGTTGAGCTGGACAGAATTAAAGATCTCAGCTGGAGCGTGGACAGGGCAGCAGACAGCCTGCTAAAAATAGAATAATCCCAATTACAGCCACACTCCTGCTTTCCCCGGGTCCCCGCTGCCCGGGGGCACAGGAGGCGCTGAATGCCGAGGGGATGGGGACACTCGGTGCCCGTCCTGGCATTCCCGGGGGCTCGGGGGGTGACACTGAGGGTGACAGTGAGGGTGACAGGGTGACAGTGAGGGTGACAGTGAGGGTGACAGTGCCAGTGAGGGTTACAGCAGTGTCACTGAGTGTGACAGTGAGGGTGACTGACAGTGCCAGTGAGGGTGACAGGGTCCGTGAGGGTGGCAGTGGCACTGAGGGTGGCAGTGGCACTGAGGGTGACAGTGTCAGTGAGGGTGACAGCAGTGTCACTGAAGGTGGCAGCAGTGTCACTGAGGGCGACAGCAGTGCCAGTGAGGGTGACAGGGTCCGTGAGGGTGGCAGTGGCACTGAGGGTGACAGCAGTGTCACTGAAGGTGGCAGCAGTGTCACTGAGGGTGACAGCAGTGCCAGTGAGGGTGACAGGGTCCGTGAGGGTGGCAGTGTCACTGAGGGTGACAGCAGTGCCAGTGAGGGTTACAGTGGCACTGAGGGTGGCAGCAGTCGCACTGAGGGTGGCAGCAGTCGCACTGAGGGTGGCAGCAGTCGCACTGAGGGTGGCAGCAGTCGCACTGAGGGTGGCAGCAGTCGCACTGAGGGTGGCAGCAGTCGCACTGAGGGTGGCAGCAGTCGCACTGAGGGTGGCAGCAGTCGCACTGAGGGTGGCAGCAGTCGCACTGAGGGTGGCAGCAGTCGCACTGAGGGTGGCAGCAGTCGCACTGAGGGTGGCAGCAGTCGCACTGAGGGTGGCAGCAGTCGCACTGAGGGTGGCAGCAGGGGCACTGAGGGTGACAGTGTCACTGAGGGTGACAGCAGTGTCCCCACTGCCGCCCTTGGCCGCGGCTCAGCTCCGCTCCCTGCCCCAAATCCGCTCTGTCCCCACCCAAACCCTGCCGGGCAGGGCTCCCGTGACCTCTCCGCTTAAAGATTGACCCCTGGCCCTGCTCAGCCCGTGCCAGGCTCTGCCTAAACCCCCCTGGCCGTGCCAGAAATCCCTCCTGCCTTCATTTCCTCCTCCTGCCTCTCAGCAGCGGCGCTGCAAAATGTTCACTGTGAAATAAACAGATGAAGCCTCTGTTTTCCCGAGCCTGGTAAGTTTATTTGTCCCATCCAGTCCAGGCAAACAATATCCAAAGGGATGGATATTAATTACCAATTTAAATATTTAGCCAGAAAATGAATCCCTTCAGCTATAACAACTTTGTTTTGTTTAATCAGAAACCAGGAGAGAATACTCTGAGGTTTCTTTTAGTTTCTCTCACAGAAATCAAACTTAAGTATCTTGAATTTAGTTGAGGAGCAACTCCAGCAAGTACAGGGAGAACAGCATGGGTCATGTAAATGTCCAGATGAGCCTGATGGGATTTAAATAAAATTCAAAAGCGTTTTTAAATGCTTTATTTAAAAATCCAAGTCCTGGTGGATGGCAGGACACAGCCCTGAGAGAGGCAGGATCGTGTCCAGGGCCTGCAGGTAGCTCTGAGTGGGGATAAAGGTTCGGATGTGCTGGTGAGCAGAAATATTTCTGCTTAGAGCTGACCAGAAAATACTCCAACTCACATTTTTAGGGTTCATTTTCCCTTTGCACTGAAATGCAGATTCGGGATTTGGCTTTTTTTTTTGGTTTGTTTTTAATTAAATGAGGAAGATTCAGTGCAGAGCAGTCGGTACCTGTGGGCTGCTGGGCTGACAGAAGTTCTCCTGTTTGATTCCCCAAAGCACAGCCCCACAGAACCAGTCTCCTGTAGCCCAGCTGATGCCAGAGCAGAGTTTTGGGGAGATCTGGGGAGGTTTTTGTCCCTTCTGCTGTCACCTCCCACCTCCCTGGAGCTGCACCCTGGGGACACAAAAACCTCCCATTAAAATTTCCGCCAACCTCATCATAACAAATCAACATTTTCCCATCGGGAAGCCAACAAGCAAGGGAAGAAAAAAATCTGTTTTGGCATTCCCGAGCAGCTGGGCCAGGAGCAGCCAGGAACAGCCAGGATCATCTAGGATCAGTCAGGAGCAGCCAGGAAGAGCCAGGAACAGCCAGGATCTGCCAGGAGCATCCAGGATCTGCCAGGATCAACCAGGAGCAGCCAGGAGCAGCCAGGAAGAGCCAGGAGCATCCAGGATCTGCCAGGAACAGCCAGGAGCATCCAGGATCAGCCAGGATCAGCCAGGAACAGCCAGGAAGAGCCAGGATCAACCAGGAGCATCCAGGATCAGTCAGGAACAGCCAGGATCAACCAGGAGCGGATCTGCCAGGAGCATCCAGGAACAGCCAGGAGCAGCCAGGATCAGCCAGGAACAGCCAGGAACAGCCAGGAGCAGCCAGGAGCATCCAGGATCTGCCAGGATCAGCCAGGAACAGCCAGGATCAGCCAGGAACAGCCAGGAGCAGCCAGGAAGAGCCAGGATCAACCAGGAGCAGCCAGGAGCAGCCAGGATCAGTCAGGAACAGCCAGGATCAACCAGGAGCGGATCTGCCAGGAGCATCCAGGAACAGCCAGGAGCAGCCAGGATCTGCCAGGATCAGCCAGGAACAGCCAGGAGCAGCCAGGAGCAGCCAGGAGCAGCCAGGAGCAGCCAGGAAGAGCCAGGAGCAGCCAGGAGCATCCAGGAAGAGCCAGGATCTGCCAGGATCTGCCAGGATAAACCAGGAGCAGCCAGGATCAGTCAGGATCAACCAGGAACAGCCAGGAACAGCCAGAAGCATCCCTGGGGCTGTGCCCGCTGCTCCCGGCCTCACCTGCGCCAGGTGAGCGCGGAGCTGTGCGGATGGAGGGCACATCCCGCTGTCCCTGTGCGTGTCTGCCCGGAGCTGCTGCTTTTCCAGGCACAGCAGGGATTGGGAAATGTGGGCAGGGATTGGGAAATGTGCCGTGATTCATCCCAGCCGCTGCAGCCGCGCTCCCACCCCGGCTCAGCACCCACGGGCGCTCGGCAGCCGCCAGACGCACACGGAGCCAGAACCTCGCTGCCACTCAAATCCTTTATTCTCCTCTGAGAGGAGACCAAAAAATAATAATAATAATAAAAAAAAAAAAAAAATCCTGAAGTGCTTTTTATTACCGAAAATTATCATATTTGGGATTATCATATTCATCAGCTTGGCTGGCGGCGCTGACCGCGGCGTTGTGCTGGAAACTGGGATTGCAAATTGCTCTGGCCGGGGATAAACCGACCTCAATAATTCACTTGTACAGCTCTGGGTCTCAGCTGAGCCTTCTGGAACCTTCTAAAAATAAGGAGTTCTAAGCTGTTATCTTTTAAAATACTTGGGAAAAAAGAGGGGGAAAGGAGAGGAGCCTTTCACAGCTGTTTTGGCCTCAAACTGCCAAGATTTATATTTTTTAAAAATGAGTTTTCTTGATCAGTTCTCTCCATTGCCTTTCGTAAAACAAGGGCCCACAGATTTAGGACATGTTGGTATTTTGTACTTCTGTAGTAAAAATGATTTGAAAACCGCTAGTAGCTTCCAAAATCCAAGCTACCACTAATAAAATGAAAATTAATCCTAAAGCAGTATTTTTATGCATGAGTTGATTACTCTTCCCAGCCTGGAATTATTTTGCAAACAAAGCTCAATTAGAGAATTAACTTTTCTATTTATTTTTTTTTTTTCCCCAAAAAAATACGGATATTTTTCAAGATATTTTGGATTTTTTCTTGCTTAGCCAATTCTCATTAATCTCGTTAGTCCCAGCACAGATTTCTTATTTTTTTCCCCCATACCAGAATGGGAGAACTTTGTTTTGAGTAATTCCTTTGTATAACTCGTAAAGTAGAAAAAAAAACATTAAACATTACAAAGCAAAACATGAAAATACTTTCAGCTTTGCTCATGTACCTACCAATTATTTTCCTGTTAAAAAAACCTCTCATAAACCAGATCCTTCCCAGATTTTTCCCCTTTAAAGGAGTTAAAGTTTTAACTCCTTTAAAGGGGAAAAAAAGCTGAGGATTCTCATTTTTCCTACAGGAAGGGTCAGCACCTGGGGAATGGCAAGGGCTGGGTTTAAACCTCTAAGCCAGCACCTAATGCTGATCCTTCCCTAAAAAAAACCCAAGAAAATAAGAATAAATTATCCAAAAAAACCCCAAGAAAATAGGAATAAATTATAAAAAAAACCCAACAAGAAAATAAGAGTAAATTATCCAAAAAATCCCCAAGAAAATGAGAATAAATTATCCAAAAAACCACAAGAAAATGAGAATAAATTATCCAAAAAACCCAACAAGAAAATAAGAGTAAATTATCCAAAGAAACCCAAGAAAATAAGAGTAAATTATCCAAAAAATCCCCAAGAAAATGAGAATAAATTATCCAAAAAACCACAAGAAAATGAGAATAAATTATCCAAAAACCCCCCAAGAAAATAAGACTAAATTATCCAAAAAATGGCAAGAAAATAAGAGTAAATTATTCAAAAAAACCCAAGAAAATAGGAATAAATTATCCAAAAACCCAAGAAAATAGGAATAAATTATCCAAAAAACCCCTTCCAACCCAAATCTTTCCCTAAATCCTTTTCACAGACATGAGACAGGGAAATCCATCCCACTGGCATTGGGAGGGGATGCTTGGAATGTCCAGGGGTATTTCCAAGCTGGAGCTGGGAGATGGAGAAGGAGATGGAGAAGGAGATGGAGAAGGAGATGGAGAAGGAGATGGAGAAGGAGATGGAGAAGGAGATGGAGAAGGAGATGGAGAAGGAGATGGAGAAGGAGATGGAGAAGGAGATGGAGAAGGAGATGGAGAAGGAGATGGAGAAGGAGATGGAGAAGGAGATGGAGAAGGAGATGGAGAAGGAGATGGAGAAGGAGATGGAGAAGGAGATGGAGAAGGAGATGGAGAAGGAGATGGAGAAGGAGATGGAGAAGGAGATGGAGAAGGAGATGGAGAAGGAGATGGAGAAGGAGATGGAGAAGATGGAGAAGGAGATGGAGAAGGAGATGAAGAAGGAGATGGAGAAGGAGATGGAGAAGGAGATGGAGAAGGAGATGGAGAAGGAGATGGAGAAGGAGATGGAGAAGGAGATGGAGAAGATGGAGAAGGAGATGGAGAAGGAGATGGAGACCACACAGGTTGGTTTGAGAAGGACCCACTGCCTCCTAATAACCCAAAATCAACGCACCCAGCTCCCCATCTCCATGGAAACTCCTTCCTTCCAAGCACTTTTATCACAATTTGCTTCCTGTTGCTGAATTCTCTGCTGGTTTTGGAGCAGAGCAGTGGAGGCTGAAGGAGAGAAGGTGAGAACCCAGCTCTGCCCTTGGCAGCAGAGCCTCTGTCCCCTGCCAGGAGCCACCTGTGGCACCTTCACCGTGCAGGGGACGGGAAAAAGGAGCAGCCTCTGGTGCTCCCTGTGCAGGGTCCAGGTGAAAACCCCTCCTAAACCCCAGCCCCAGCCTGACAGAGCCACGCTGAGACACAGAGAGAGCCCAAAACAGGCATTAAATGGACCATGAACACAGCACAGAACACTGAATAATTTATTCTGATTTTCTTGGTTTTTTGGATAATTTATTCTTATTTTCTTGGGGTTTTTTGGATAATTTATTCTTATTTTCTTGGGGTTTTTTGGATAATTTATTCTTATTTTCTTGTTGGTTTTTTGGATAATTTATTCTTATTTTCTTGGGTTTTTTTGGATATTTTATTCTTGGTTTTTTGGATAATTTCTTCTTATTTTCTTGGGGTTTTTGGATAATTTATTCTTATTTTCTTGGGGGTTTTTTGATATTTTATTCTTGTTTTTTTGGATAATTTATTCTTATTTTCTTGGGGGTTTTTGGATAATTTATTTTTGTTTTTTTGGATAATTTATTCTTATTTTCTTGGGTTTTTATGGATAATTTATACTTGGTTTTTTTGATAATTTATTATTTTCTTGGGGTTTTTAGTGACTGATAATGGGGCTGAGAAGAGTTTTGCCAGCCAGGCCCTGAGTGAGAGCAGGCAGAGGAAACCTAACCCGGGAAATATTGAAGTTCCAAAATTAAACCCTGGTTTAAATAACCCTGGGGTCAGTGCTGCTGTGGAAAGGGGCATTTTGAACCAAAAATGGTTCAGGAGCTCTGATGGTCCCGTGGGGCCTTTCCAGCTCAGGATATTCCGTGATTCAATGGGTTTTCCTCTTTAAAATAACGAATAAAACTGTCTGCAGCCTCCACAGAAAGCAGTGAAATGTCCTTGCTGCCTCAGCCTGGCTAATTGCAAATATAACAACACACTAAAAATAAGAAAATTTAAATGCACAATATAAAAAAAGATCTTTATGGAGCTTCCCCCCTGCAGTGTCTTTAAAAAGCCTTCTAAAAAGCCTTTTACCACATGGCTAAACACACCTTTATTTATTATTTTTTGAGAAAAGGGCATGAAAGAACTTAATCCAGACTAAATATTTAAGCAAACAGCAATTAACTAACAATGATGAATGGTAAACACTCCCAGTCCCACGCTAGACCAGGACTTTAAAGCTCGTTTATCTAAGCTAAAGTTGCTCAAGAGGAAAAGCAAGTTTATTGAGTAAACTTTGTCTCAGGCACCTTGCTATTAAAACAATCCACAAACAGAACCTGCACCGTATATTCTGGGTGGAAAAAACAAAAAAAAAGGAGCAAGAACATAAAGAACGTGGAAGTTACATTTCTGTGTGGAGCAATTATCCCTAAATAGAAAAACAGGGAAAATACGAAGCTGTAAAGCAGCTCCTTCCACCCCCGTGGCCTTGGGTTAAAGCAGGAAGAAGTGAGAGAACCCTTAAATCCCACCTGGGGCTGTCATTCCCACTTATCCACTGGGAAGGAGGGAGATTTTATTTTATCCACATGGATCCTTTAATTTAAATGTAACATTATTATTATTATTATTATTATTATTATTATTATTATTATTATTATTATTATTGTTGTTGTTGTTGTTGTTGTTGTTGTTGTATTGTTATTGTTATTGTTATAGTTATTGTTATTGTTATTATCATTATCATTATTGTCATTATTATTATCATTATTATCATCATCATCATTATTATTGTTGTTAGCATTATTTTAATAATAATAATAATATTATTGTTATTATTTGAATGTAACATAAATATGATATTATCATTATCACTATTAACATGATAATTAGCATTACCACCATTATCATTATTGTTACTATTATTTCTAGTATTCCTAGTAATTATTATTCCTGTTGATATTATTATAATAATGCATTATCAGCATTTTTATGATTTTAGATCGTGCTCTGGAGAGGGGGGGCCCGTGCCGGGTCCCGGGCCCGCCCCTCCCCGGGGGCCGGGGCTGCCGAGGGGGTCCCGAGCGAGGGGCAGGGGGACGAGGAGGGGGAACGGGAGCGGGGGGCGAGCAGGGGATGCGGGAGGTGAGGAGGGGATTCGGGGGATGCGGGAGGGGAGGAGGGGATTCGGGGGATGGCGGGATGCGGGCAGGGGATGCCCGGGGATCTGAGCGGGATGTGCGAGGGGATGTGCGGGGATGAGCGCGGGGATGCGCGCAGGATGTGAGCGGGATGTGAGAGGGGTGTGCGGGGGATGTGCGCAGGATGTGAGCGGGGATGTGCGCAGGATGTGAGAGGGATCTGAGCGGGATGTGAGCGGGATGTGCGCAGGATGTGAGCGGGGGATGAGCGGAATGTGAGAGGGATGTGCGGGGATGCGCGCACGATGCGCGCAGGATGTGAGAGGGGTGTGAGCGGGATGTGCGCAGGATGTGAGCGGGGGATGAGCGGAATGTGAGAGGGATGTGCGGGGATGCGCGCACGATGCGCGCAGGATGTGAGAGGGGTGTGAGCGGGATGTGCGCAGGATGTGAGCGGGGGATGAGCGCGGGGATGCAGCGCGATGTGAGCGGGGATGCAGCGGGGGCGCGGCGGGATGAGGGCGGGGACGCGGCGGGACGAGCGCGGGGATGCGGCGGGACCAGCGCGGAGATCCAGCGGGACGTGCGCGCCATGTGCGCGGGGATGCAGCGGGACGTGCGCGGGATGTGCGCGGGGATCGAGCGCGACGTGCGCGGGATGAGCCCGGAGATCCAGCGGGATGTGCGCGGGATGTGCGCGGGGATTGAGCGCGATGTGCGCGGGATGTGCTCGGGCTGCGCTCGGGCCGTGCCCGGCCCCGCTCTCCCCGCTTCCCGGCCCCGGAACTCGCCTGGCGGAGCATCCCCGGCCCGGCCCCCGGGCACCGCAGCGGGCTCGGCCCGAGATCCATCCTGGATCCCTCGCAGAGGCGGCGGCCGAGGGGCCAAGGTCACCCCGCAGCGACTACAATTCCCAGGAGGCAGCGAGATCCCGGGAAAAGGCCCGGGGGGAGCGGAGGAGGAGTGAGGGGTTCGCTCCAGACCCCTCCGAGCTGCCTTCCCCCAGCATTTTCCACTTCCCCATCGGAGCTGGGATGTCCCATCCTAGGGGATGGCTGAGAATCCGGCACAAACGGACGCGAATCTATTTCGGGATTTACCTCAGTCATGGGAAAACAAACAAACAAAAAAGCAGCAGCATGAAGAGAAATAAATGCCTGACGGTCGGGTTTGAAGTGCTGCGTGCTCCTTGCAGGGCTGCAGCCCCTGCACATCTCCGGGACCACCTTCCAGGACCTCCACGGTCATTAGCGGGTATTATCCTCGCTCTCTCTGAGGAAGAGGTGGGATAATCATTCCCCATTTAACGCCTGGGAAGCTTGGCACGGCGCACATTAAGTGATTTGCTGACAGGCACACAAGAAAATTGCGCTAGTCAAGCGTTCTCCCAATTATGCCATCCTTGGAACTGCATAATTTCCCTGCGTGATTCCAAACACGGCTGAGACTCCCTGGGCAGGGCTTCATCTCTGCAGAGCTCAAAGCAGCCGGCAGGACCCGTCCGTGCCCGTGTCCCCACCGCGGGGCTCCTCGGGCCACAAGCGCTCGGCTCCGCTGCCCCTCTCGGCGGGCAGGACGTGCAGGTACAACCTGGGGGGGACACGAGAGGTCTGGGGGGGCTCGGGGGGTGCCGCACAAACCCCGGCTCCGACCTTCCCAAAGCGCCGCTTCACCCCCGCGCCCGGCGGAATTCCGCAGCCCAGTGGAAATTCCCCAGCGCTGGGGCCTCCAGGGGCCGGCAGAACCTCCCCGGAGCCGAGCGGGGCCCTGGGACGGTGAGCAGAGGGATCCGGGGGGAGCAGGAATCGGGGGGAGCGGGGACGGGACTGCGGGGAAGCCGGGATGGGGCTGCGGGGCTGCGGGGATGAGGAGCGGGGATGGGGAGTGGAGAGGGGGCTGTGGGGATGGGGCTGCAGGGATGGGGATAGGGAACGAGGATGGGGCTGTGGGGGCAGCGGGGATGGGGAACGGGGATGGAGAGTGGGGAGGGGGATGCGGGGATGGGGATGCGGGGATGGGGATGGGGCTGTGGGGATGGGGATGGGGATGGGGCTGCGGGGATGGGGCTGCCGGGATGGGGATGCGGGGATGGGGAGCGGGGATGGGGCTGCGGGGCTGCGGGGCTGCGGCTCCCCCGCGGCGCTGCCCGCGCTGCTCTCCGGACTCCCCTGCCCTCATTGCGATGGGCCCGGCCTGCCCAGCCTCCTAATCTGCGCTAAGTGGGACTGCCGATGAACGCCGCGATAAATTTAGAAAGAAATCTTTGTGTGGGTCAGAGGAAAAACACGGGGAAGCCGAGCTGCGGCGGCGCGCTCTGATTTCCCCGGGCTCGCTCCCAGCAGGATTTCTCACGGCTGCCGTTCTCGCCAGAGGCAGCCACGGAGCTCAGAGGTGGGCCAGACTCTGCTGGACTTTGTGAGCCATAAAATAAAAGATTTTTAAGTAATTTAGCGGGGGAGCAGAGGGAGGAGGCAGCGGGGGCTGCGCTGCCCCGGCTCCGACCGCGGGCTGACATTTCAGCCGGAGCCTCTTAAAGAGCAACTTTGCCTTCCCCAGGATTTGTTTATAAGCACGAGCAGGGAGAGCAGTTGTGCTTAATTCCTCTCTCAGGCTCTTGCTTGCACTGCCTGCTCCTGCCCAATCGCTTTTGTTAATCTCTTAAATTGTTTTAAAACAACAACAACAACAAAATAATGGCATTAGCGGTGCCAAATCCCCCGTGAAATCACCAGCGCAGCCCCACACCCCTCTCTAAAATCAGAACGTTTCAAACTATTTTATCATTTGCTGGTAAATTATATTGTACCAGAGCGAGGAGAGGAAAAGAATTTTCTGAATGTATTTCCTTTAATAAGCTATTAAGACGTTGTACTGCTAATTAAACTATTAATTAGACGTCTTATCGTTCCTAAACACGTTAGCATGTTGCCAAAGCAGCAATAAGCCTCTGGGGCAGGCAGGAGATAAGGAAAGAAGGAAGATGCAAACATGAAGATTAAAAAAATATGAAGGAATAAAAAAAAAAAAAATCAAAAGAACAAGAAATAGCAAATAAAAAAATTAAGAGTCAGAAGGGTGATGTATTGGTTAATTTATAGGAATAAAAAATAAATAACTTGAGAATGAATTTCCTGTGTAGGAGCCCTTGGGGCACCTGTGTCTTACGCAGGACAAAAAGGGGCAGGACTTTTCAGACCTTCATTTTTCTGCAGCAGTGGAACCAGAAGTGGAACCCATCTTCCCCAACACCAGGAATTAGGAAATTAAAAGGAAAAAAAAAAAAGTGGGGGTTTTTTATTCTGCAGAGGAAAAACATCAGGAATTTTCAATAGGAAGATCTTAATTAAAGGAGTTTCTGCATCTGGCTCCGCACTGACCCACAGGCAGCACCCCAGGCTCGCCCAGACTTGTTTTTCTGAAGTTAAGAAAGAAAATTCCCAGCCTGAAGCACGCTCTGAAGGTTTTTCCTCCTGCTCCTGTGGCTCCTTCAGGAATGAGGAGTTGGGAAACTCAGGGACAGCTCTGAACCACCCCGAGCTGCTGCTCTCACAGCCTTTGGGACCTTTGAGTCCCGGCTCTCCCTGATCTCTGCCCATCTCAGGGTTTGCAACACATTCCAACAATTGGGGTTTTTAGACCCCAATTCCTCAGCTCAGTGGCTCTCAGGGGATGGATAATCTCATTTGTGTCTGTTACTACAAATCAGCAGCAAATTAAATGGATCTGAAGGCCAGAATTAAAGGCTCCAAGCACATGGGAAGTGCCTGTAATGCAAAGAGCTGTAAATATAATTTATTTTAGGGGGGTGGATGGGAAAGCCCTACACAGATGCTCTTACCTGGGAAACAAAGACAGAATCATGGAAGTATTAAGGCTGGGAAAGACCTCTAAGATCAAGTCCAACCACTAATGCACCACCATGGCTGGAAAAGGAGGAAAAAAACCAAAATGAGCTTGGTTGTCACCCTTTTGCAGCTCTGGGAAATGCCTTTGTGGCCTTCTGATGGTGGCTGAGGTTCAGGCTGGCCCAAAGCTGCTGCTCAGGACACTGCTGGATCCCTGGCTGGGATTTCAGGGATGTCCCAGCCTCAGGACAAATTCTGGGAAAATTCTGGATTCCCTGGGTTGGATTTCAGGGATGAGGAAGTTCTCCAGCTTCTTCTGCACCAGCCCCTGAGGTGGGGCACGGGATGTCACCAGAGCCCTCCTGTGCCACTCAATTCCCTGTGTGGCCTTGCAGGGGATGGGGCAGCAGAAATGGGAGAATTCCCACAGGGGTTTTTGCAGGATCCGACACTGAGCAAGCAGAAAAAGGGAAAAAAACAACAAAAAGAAAGAAAAAGGAAAGAAAGTGATGTGAAATCCGGGTTAGAAATGCCATTGTGGGTGTTCCCCGTGCCTGGAACACGAGCTGTCACTCTGTTATCCCTGGCATATCCCTGTCACAGCTCTCTTATTCCCTGTGATTCCATAATTCCATGGTTTCACTGATCCAGGGCTGGATTTCAGCACCGCTGGCCGGGGCTGGAGCTGTTTTTGGGAGCAGCTCTGCCAGGGCCCCATTCCCGAGTCACAGCCGCCCTCTGGAGCCCGGGCCGGAGTTCTGGCAGAGCTCAGCCGGCAGGCAGCAGCATTGCAGCACAAATAAATAATCCTGCACCTGATCCTGCAGCTAATGCTGCAATAATGCTGAAATAGTGCTGAAATAACCCTGCATCTGATCCTGCAACTAATGCGGAATAATGCTGAAATAGTGCTGCAAATAATGCTGCAATAGTGCTGAAATAATGCTGGAATAATGCTGAAATAATGCTGAAATAATTCTGAAATAGTGCTGCAAATAATCCTGCAACTGATCCTGCAACTAATGCTGGAATAATGCTGAAATAGTGCTGAAATAATGCTGCAATAGTGCTGAAATAATGCTGGAATAATGCTGAAATAATGCTGAAATAATTCTGAAATAGTGCTGCAAATAATCCTGCAACTGATCCTGCAACTAATGCTGCAACTAATGCTGAAATAGTGCTGCAATAATGCTGCAATAGTGCTGAAATAATGCTGAAATAATGCTGAAATAATGCTCAAATAATGCTGCAAATAATGCTGAAATAACCCTGCATCTGATCCTGCAACTAATGCTGGAATAATGCTGCGGGGATGGGGATGGGGCTGCGAACTAAAAAATATGAAGGAATGCAAATAATGCTGGAATAATGCTGAACTAATGCTGCAACTAATGCTCAACTAATGCTCAACTAATGCTCAAATAATGCTGAAATAATGCTGAACTAATGCTGAAATAATGCTGCAAATAATGCTGGAATAATGCTGAACTAATGCTGCAACTAATGCTGCAAATAATGCTGCAAATAATGCTGGAATAATAGTGCAGATAATGCTGGAATAATGCTGGAAAAATGCTGGAATAACACTGGAATAATGCTGCAATAATGCTGCAATAATGCTGGAATAATTTTGGAATAATGCTGCAATAATGCTGGAATAATGCTGGAATAATTTTGCAATAATGCTGCAATAATGCTGCAATAATGCTGCAATAATGCTGCAACAATGCTGCTGCCCCTCAGCATCCTCACCTGGGCAGAGCGAGCTCTCACCTCGCTGTGCTGTGCTCGGTTCCCCTGGGCTGCCCCAAAACACAGGGGCAGGAGCCTGGGGAGGGTCCCTGGGGAGCTGCTGAGGGAATCAGCCCTGGGAAGAGCCAGACATCCCGGAGAGGAGAGGGAATCAGCCCTGGGAAGAGCCAGACATCCCGGAGAGGAGAGGGAATCAGCCCTGGGAAGAGCCAGACATCCCGGAGAGGAGAGGGAATCAGGAGAGATCCCCATTCCCAGAGCTCCTGCCTTCAGCACAGCTCCACGGGACAAGCCCTGAAGGGCTCCCCAGTGTCCCCCTGTGAATTTTTGGGGCAGGGAACGTTGCTGGTTATTTCAGAGTGCCCAGAGCGAGGGAACCCTCACACAATCCCAGGATTTAGGCTGGAAAATCCCTCTGGGATCAGTGAGCCCGATGCCCACCCTGAGCCCCGGGTGCCACCTCCAGGGATGGGGACTCCAAACCCCCCTGGGCACTTCCAAGGCCCTTTCCATGAGGAAATTCCTGCTGCTGCCCAAGCTGAGCTCCAGCTCAGGCCAAGCCCAGCCCTGCACATCACTCTGGAATCTCATCCATTTTTCCAGGAACTAACTGGGTGTCGTAAACATCAAAAAACCGCCAACAAATCAAACCAACGAGGTGTGTCTGCTGCACGTCACTCATCCTGCAGAGGTTTTTTTGGGAGAGGAATGTGCTCAGAGCCTTTATTCATGGGATTTCTGCTGGGAAAGAACCTCTCTGTGAGGCGTTGTCCTCCCATCCTGCTGGCAGCAGCCAGAGCCACGCATCCCACGGGGATAAACACGCTGGACACGGCGGAGAAGCCGCTTTTAGTACTTCATTATTTTTCTTTTTCGACCGGGGTTATTTACAATGAGATCTGGGAGAAGCAATTCACACCAAAGCAAACAGCCTGGAATATTTTAATTGTGTTTAAGTGACTCTTGCACCCACAAATAAAACCAGCCCCAGGTGGTGATGGATGGTGCTGTCATTGCTTTGAGCACTGTACCAGAAAAAAATCCCTTCTCCTCAGGGGTTCAGCACCGAGAGAAATCTGGGATGAATTCACTTGTGAGAGGGTAGATCAGCTTCAAGGGCCGTTTTTGGGCTTCTTTGGGGTGTGGAGGTCGCTGCTGGTGCTCGTGTTGAACCACAACTCGTCCTGTCTGGCACAATCAGGGCTTTGGCTCCCTAAAAACGTGTTTGGGGTGGGGAACAAACCTGCCCTGGGTCCCACCGAGCTCCAGCAGCGCCTCCCTGGAGTGGGATCAGCACGGAGAGGGGTCAGACCTGCTCCTGCTCCTGGGATTTGGTACTTCCCAAAGTGAAAATCCTGCTCTTTGCTCATGGCCCTGCTGCTGGCGCAGAGAGAGGAATTCCCACTGCAGAGCTGCGGTTTTGTCTCCCTCCCATCCCTCCGGGAGCCCTTTGGCACCTCCCATTCCCAAATTCCTGCCCCAGACACCCACAGAGCCCAGCCTCGCGTTCTCCATCTCACCCAAGGGATAAACTGCTGGCTCTGCCTGCCACAACCCCCAGCCCTGGCAGGAGGAGGCTGTGGCAGGACTCAGAGAAAAAGAAGTTGACATTTCAGCCTTGAATTCCACGTGGAAAGTTTTACAGAGCTTCAGCAAATTCTGCTGGAGTAGGAAAGAGTAGAGGAGCCCTAAAGCACAGGAAGGGGTTAAATGCCTGATGGTCTCAGAAGAGGAAGAAATCCTGCACTGAAACATAAAGATGAGATTATAAACAACTCTGTTAACCAAAACTATCTGAAACCTGAGAGGTTTTTGTCACTGCAGTCCCAATTTAACTACTTTAGTCAGCCTAACATATTGCTACCAGAAATCCGGGCTGCTGGAGCCCAGCTCTGCCTCTGCTTTAAAGCTGTGGAGGGGCTGAGGGCCCTGGGATGTGTCCTGATGTTCTTCTAACAACAAAAACACAGAACAGCTGCAGAGAGGAGTCCTGTGTGCTCAGCAGGAGGAGGAGGAGGAGGCAGAGGAGCCGCTCTTGGGCAGCTCAACGTGCTTCAGGCTGGTTTTGAAGCTCTCCACAGAGGCAATAATAAAGGTACAGAAGGTCTGCAATTCCCTGTGTGTGCAGAGAAATCTCCTGCCCTGCCCTGGGGGCTCCTGCTCACATCTGGGTGTCGGCAGGGCTCTGCTGCCGGCCCGAGCGGCCGCTCTTGGAGGACGCCTGGCCCGTCCCGTTCTCCTGGGTGCCCCCGTTGAGGTTTGGGAGGTTTGGCTTCTCCTGCAGCTCCGCTGGCTCCTGGGACGGGCTCATCAGCATGGTGTTCCCCTGGCTCTCCGTGTAGTAGGGGTCTTCAGCCTGGCAGGGACACAAGGGACACGGTCAGGGAAGGGTGAGGGCTGCTGGGTCCTGGCAGGGAGGACAAACAGCCCCAGGTCAGGGCACTGCTCTCGCTGACAAGGAGGGGAGCAGAGGGCCTGAACCAACAAGCAGCGAGAAAATCACCCAGAACTGCAGCCTTTCCTCCAGCACCTGCCAGAGAAGCTGTTGGGGTTTGTTGTTTCCTCCCAAGCAGGTTTTGGAGCTGGCCTTGCCTTGGGACAGAACCTCTTTGGCCAAGGCAGAACCAGCACGGAATGGAAATGGTGGGAATTGTCTCTTTTGCTTCCCTTGCCCTTCCTGTGGAGCTGTGGCAGAGCTGCACCTCTGCAGGGCCGGGCACTGCCTGTGAGGAGCATCCAGAGCTGCCTCCATCCCCTCACAAGAGCTCCCCAGACGTTGTGCAGCCCTGGAATTGGCAGTGGCGGCAATTCCCAGCTGGAATTCCCTCAGCAGCACCCAGCACTCCCCTGGCTGGAGCTGGCTCAGTCTCCTTTCCATGGGTGGGCTGGAATCCTCAGCTGGGATAGGGATTGGCACTGCCAGGGGTTTCCAGGGACACTGAGGCAGTGTGACACTGGCATTTCCCAGCTCTGTGCTCTGGGGACATCCTCAAATGTCCTGGGGGCTCCCAGGCCACGGCTGCTCTCGCTGGGCAGTGATGGGGAATCATCGCTTTACACAGGGTCACATCCCCCAAAAGTCACCAAAAGGTGGGGAGGAGTCCTCAGGGTCAGCCTGCCTGGAGAGGGGAGAATGGAAATAGGAAATTTCTGCCTCTTTCTTTCTTTCTTGATATGTTTTATTGCCATGCCTGGTGGGGGGAAATTGCCTTTATTACAGCACGGGTACAGACACGGGGCTCACACAAAGGAATGGAAATTAAAGGGCGTCACTTTTAATGACACATTCATCAGGTTTCAGTGGCTCTGGAGGGGTCTCGCTGGATGAGTTCTTACTGCTGAGCAAAAATAAGTGTTAGAGCTGGAACTGGGTGCGGGAAAGGGGCGATGCTGCTGCTGCAGGAGTTGATTTTGGAAGAGGAGAGAGGCTCCCTCTCCCCCTGTGCAGTGAGCACAGAGCACAGGGGTGTCCATCCCCCTGTTCTCCCCCCTGGGCTCCTCTCTACCTGCGGCTCTGCCACCTGTAAGCACTGACCAGCCTCTCTCCCGCGGGGCTCCAGCTGCGCCGCTTCATCAGGAAATATCCAGCCAGGCCCAGGAAGGCCAGCAGCAGCCCAGATGTGACCAGCGCGATCAGCGTCTTCTGAGAAGAGTCCCTCTGGCTCCTCCTGCTCTCCTTTTTAAGGGATTCTATTCCAAACTGGAAAAAAGAAAACAAAAAACAAACCCCAAAACACCAAAGAGAGCCGGGAGTGGGACAAACAGGAAACGTTTGCATCTGCTGCACAGGCTTCAAACAATGGTGCTCCTCACCTCGGGAAACAGAGCTGGGCTGTGCTGCCCCGGCCCTGGGAGCCCTCACGTCCTCACAGCCTCATTCCCAGCCTCCTGTGGCACTGGGAATTTTGTCCTCTGGAGCACAGCCCAGGGGAGATCTGAGTGCTGCAGCTCTGCCATTTATACCCCGAGAGCCAGTGGCAGCCGCAGGGCATTAATGATCATCATTAATTAGCATTAATATCAGCCTGGGCCCCTGGAGAAGCTGAGAGTGACTGTTGGGGTCTCACCTTTGCTAAGAAAGTGCTTTTACACTTTTACACTTTTTTCCTTTTTCTTTTTTTTTTTGCTAAGAAAGCATTTTACAGATCCTTTTCAGGCATTTCTGCCCCCATGGGTTGTGCTGGGTCCCTTGTGCTGCATCAGCCACAGCATCCCAGGATGGTTTGGGCTGGAAGGGACCTTAAAAATCACCCAGTGCCACCCTGCCATGGGCAGGGACACCTCCCACTGTCCCAGGGTGCTCTGAGCCCACCCAGCCTGGACTGGGATCTCCTCAGGCACCTCCAAACTGGAGCAGGTCCAAGTCTGAGCATCTCCCCCAGCCCAGCTGAGCTGGGTTTAACTAAACCTCCCACCCCTCCTGGCCAGGATTTCTGCAGCTGAATTCGCTTCAGGGATTTACCTTTTCCCAGTGAGACTTCTGGAGGGCGTTCAGAAGGTTGTCAGGATCTGCAAGGTTGAAAGCAGGAGAGGACACGACACTTATTGATCACAAATTGATCACTTATTGATCACACATTGATCACATCACACACTGATCACACACTGATCATACACTGATCACATCATACACTGATCACTTATTGATCACACATTGATCACTTATTGATCACACATTGATCACACACTGATCACACACTGATCACATCATACACTGATCACTTATTGATCACACATTGATCACACATTAATCACACACTGATCACACACTGATCACACACTGATCATACACTGATCACTTATTGATCACACACTGATCACACACTGATCACACACTGATCACATCATACACTGATCACACATTGATCACTTATTGATCACACATTGATCACACACTGATCACTTATTGATCACACACTGATCACACACTGATCACATCATACACTGATCACACATTGATCACATCACACACACTGATCACACACTGATCACTTATTGATCACACACTGACCACACACTGATCACTTATTGATCACACATTGATCACACATTGATCACACATTGATCACACACTGATCACACATTGATCACTTATTGATCACACATTGATCACACACTGATCACACACTGATCACTTATTGATCACACACTGATCACACATTGATCACACATTGATCACACACTGATCACTTATTGATCACTTATTGATCACACATTGATCACACCACACACACTGATCACACCACACCCACTGATCACACACTGATCACTTATTGATCACATCACACACACTGATCACACCACACACTCTGATCACACACATTGATCACACATTGATTATACCACACCCACTGATCACACACTGATCACCTCACACACACTGATCACTTATTGATCACCCATTGATCACATCACACACTCTGATCACACACATTGATCACACATTGATCACAGCACACACACTGATCACACACATTGATCACACATTGATCACAGCACACACACTGATCACACACTGATCACTTATTGATCACACATTGATCACAGCACACACACTGATCACACACTGATCACACACTGATCACTTATTGATCACATCACACACACTGATCACACCACACACTCTGATCACACACATTGATCACACATTGATCACACCACACACTCTGATCACACACATTGATCACACATTGATCACACCACACACTCTGATCACACACATTGATCACACATTGATTATACCACACCCACTGATCACACACTGATCACACCACACACGTTGCACACACCACATCCACACACTCCCTACATGAACCCCACACCCTGCAGCTCGTGGCACACCCAAGGGCCTGGCTGTGCACAGCCAGGGTGGCTCCTGGAGGTGGCTCCACGGCCCCAGGGATGCAGCAGGACCCCAGAAGAAAGAGCAGAATTGCAGAGAGGTTTCTCCTCCCCGGACCTGCCTGCCAGCCCTTCCCTGTCCCGCTGCCCACACCGTTATCTGTGGATCACAGCCAAGGAATCAGCTCCACTGACCTTTCTCTCCTTTGAGGATGAGGAGCAAGCAGTCCCTGTCCAGGCTGGACGGAGTGAGTTTGATCTCGCAGGGGGAGTCCAAGGTGTGGGTTCTATTTTCACATACTGCTTGCCACAAATCCCATCCCTTCCTCTCTAAGAAGTTTTCCTGCAAACATTTCAGCAAGAACAGCCATTAAACCAAGCAAAGTGAGCAATCCTCTGCCTCAGCCACGCTGGTGGAGGTGTTGTGCTTTCCCCTTTGAATTTTGGGGAAAGCTGAGCTGGGTGTCAGACCCTCCTCTCCCACCCCAACACCTTGGAGGTGCTCATTTCTCATGTCTTGTCTTAATGAGAATTAATAAAACAGAGATATTCTTAGCAACTCTTGAAAATGGCATTTAAACAAAGCTAAATTTAGGCCCTGAATCTCATGGCAAGTCTCCCCAGTTTTTGGGCTGGAACAACTGAAGAGCCCTATTGTTTCAGAGTCCCAGGCAGGGGCTGGGAAAGGAGGGAAATAACAAAGAAGCATTGAGCCTTCCTGTTTAGGAAATGTCTTCAATGTTTTTGCTAGGTTGCTGATCAAAGGCTAGGTAAAAAAAACACAAATTTCTCACATTTTAGAGCTGAACTGACTCTGGGCTGGAAGAGGAAGAGGAGTGAGGAGCTGCAGCCTTTGTGGGCCAGTTTCTGGATCAGACAGGATGGGTTTTCTCCTGGGGGCTGTTTCCAGGCTCACAGGCAGAGCCTGGCCTTGCTAAAACCCTTCCTGAGCCCTGTCCTGGGCCCAAGCCCACGCTGGGGCTGTGTGAGAGCCCCCTTGTCCTGGCAAGGGCTCGGTGCCCTCCTCCCTGTGCCCCGGAGCTGCCCCGGGCTCGGCTCCCTCCATCCTCCATGTGAAACTCCTCCACTGGAGAACAACAAACAAATCATTCTCAGCTGTTTCTATAGAGCTTGGCTCGGGCACAGGAAGGCCAAGATGGAACAAGAGACCCAAGTGAGTATTTTCCTTTCTCTGCTGTGGAAAGAACTCATCGGAGTGTCAGAGTTTCCCTTCGCAATTAGCGGCGCCGGGTGCCAGCTGATTGCTCATTTGCCTCGGGAAAGGCCAGCAGGAGAGAGGGACAGGAGGTCCCTGCTGGCTGCTGCCCTCCAGGACTGCTCTAATCTGGTTCCCAGCTCCAGCCTGAGCCGCCTGCTCGCACCGCAGCGCCGGGAGGGTGCTGGAATTGGGGATGTTTGGGTGTTTTTTTGGGTGTGTGAGCTGTGCCTGTGTGGCAGGCTCTGGATGCGCTGCCTGCATCCCCAGGGCAGCACAAACCCTGTGCCCGGACGGGATCAGAGCCCACTAGATGGCATCTGAGATCGGGATCCCGCAGGATATTCCCTGTGAATTCCTGCTCCTGTAAACAGGAACGAGCCTAAATGCCATTTAATCACTCATCCGCACAGGAAAGCCAAGCCAGACTCGCTCATCCTAAGTGGCAGCAGCACGGCTCAGTGACAAATTGTACATTTATAATAATATATAAAACATAAACAACATAAATCGTACATTTTAGATATATTTCACACCCTCTTTCCACTTCCCACCCTCTGGGGCAGGCTGTGCCTCCAGTGGGAATGGTTTCTGCCTCCCACCCACAGCAGATCCCCCTCTGCTGCTAAAAATGTCTCATTTTTGGTGCACAAGGCCAAGGACGGTCACAGAGAGCCCTGGGTCCCTCAGGAGCTCTTGGGGACACTGGGCAGCCCCTTCCAATGCCCTGTTTTCTTTCCTAGGGCACTTGGCAAGACAAAAAAGGGCACTTTTGTTCCCAACAGGGAAGAGGAAGAAGAAGAACAAAGGCAGCTTCCCGTTGGACGCGGTGGGAGATGCTTCAGGAGCTGAGCTGACCCCGCAGCTCAGGGCAAGGAGAGGGATTGATGGGGTTGGGAGGTTGCATTTCCCACTTTGGGATGCAGCCCTTGGGGACCATCCCCTCCTGCAGGCCACGGCACCTCCCCAGCCCGGCCAGCCCCGCGGCCCCCGGGGCACTCACGCAGCTCCGGGACTCGTTGAGCCGCAGGCAGATGGCTCCGGTGTCCCCCTCGTCTCTGGCACGGTGGCACCCGATGGCAGCGGGGGCAGGCTGGCAGGGAGAGCACACAGCGCTGCTGTCAGTGGGGCTGGGGGTCAGTGCAGCCCTCAGGCAGCCCCATCCTCAATATCCTCAGCATCCTCAGCATCCTCATCCTCAGCATCCTCAGCATCCTCTCCACCCTCATCATCCTCGTCATCCTCACCATCCCCACCATCCTCACTATCCTCATCCTCAGCATCCTCAGCATCCTCAGCATCCTCATCCTCAGCATCCTCAGCATCCTCAGCATCCTCAGCATCCTCATCCTCAGCATCCTCAGCATCCTCTCCACCCTCATCATCCTCGTCATCCTCACCGTCCTCATCCTCAGCATCCTCAGCATCCTCAGCATCCTCACCGTCCTCATCCTCAGCATCCTCAGCATCCTCAGCATCCTCACCATCCTCATCCTCAGCATCCTCAGCATCCTCAGCATCCTCAGCATCCTCAGCATCCTCATCCTCAACATCCTCAGCATCCTCACCACCCTCATCATCCTCGTCATCCTCCCCGTCCTCATCCTCAACATCCTCAGCATCCTCAGCATCCTCACCATCCTCAGTATCCTCACCATCCTCATCCTCATCGTCCTCATCGTCTTCACCATCCTCACCATCCTCACCATCCTCAGCATCCTCATCCTCCCCATCCTCCCCACCCTCACTCACCTCAGGGCTCAGGGCCGGCTGTGGGGCCGTGGTGGCCGTTGGCACCCGGGGATGCTCCGAGGTGACCGCAGAGCTGCTCCCGGTCACCGTGGAGGCCGCGGTGTCTGTCCCTGTGTCCCTGGGCTGTGTCGGGGGGTCCCGGGCAGTGGAGACCCCCGGGCTCCCGTGTGGCCCCGCCGAGGTGTCCGGCAGTGAGGTGGGGGCCGGGCTGGGCTGGGGGCTCGTCCTCAGCTGCTCTGGGAGCCCTGTCAATGTCGGGCTGGTGGCCACGGACCCGGCCACGGTTCCAGCTTGGAGGAAACGTGAGGAGAAGGACTCAGGAGGGGGCTGGAACCCCCTGTGAGCCCGGTGGCTGAGACACAGGGGGGTCCCTGGCTCTCTGGGGAGCGCTCGCTGGCCCTGGGGCTGCTGCTGGATTGTTACACCCCCCTGGGGACATTTCCCAGCCACAGGGCAGAGGTGCCACCCCCAGCATTGCCCCCAGCTCCTTCTTGGCCCCGCGGCTTCCAGAGGAGGCACCGATCTCAAACTGCAGCGGGGAAAGGCTCCCTGCGCCCTCTGATCCTCTCAGAGCCTGAGCTGGCCCAACCACCATGGAATCCCGGACTGGGTTGGGTTGGAGGGACCTCAAAGCCCACCCAGGGCCACCCCAGCCATGGCAGGGACACCTCCTGCTGTCCCAGGCTGCTCCAAACCCATCCAGCCTGGCCCTGGGCACTGCCAGGGATCCAGGGCTGCTCTGGGCACCTGTGCCAGGGCCTGCCCACCCTGCCAAGGAACAATTCCTTCCCAATATCTAATTTAAATCTCCCCTCCTGCAGCTTGAAGCCATTCCCCCTTGTCCTCTCCTCCCAAAGGCTCTCTTCCCACGTGTGGTGAGATAAACATCACTGAGCTTTTTGTTTTGAGCAGGATGGGGCTGAGCCGCCTGGGTTGGGCGTCCCCAGGTGGGATTTTTTGGGGTGGAATTAAAGCTTTTCACCACACTCAGCCTCTCTTTTTTTCGAGAGCACAAACCATGGCGAGCCCACACACTTCATAAATCTAATTATTCCCACCAACTCTACCAGGAACCAGAGAGGGAAGCAAGGGAGGGGTTACCAGAGGTTGGTTTGGCGGTGCTGGCGTGTCCCGTGGCTGTGCTGGCGGCGCTGGCTGTCCCACTGCTGCCGTCCCTCGCTGCCGTCGGTGTGGGGGTGTCTGCCGTGCTCCTGGCAGCGCAGCCTGGGGGAACACACAGCTCTCAGGGGCTGCTGAGCCCCCAGCCCAGCCCTCAGCCCCTGTGGGAAAGCAGGAAAGCTTTAGCTGCTCTCCCAAATTCGCTTTTTCTCGCCCCAAACTGGCAGGAAGGCTCGGGGCGCATCTGGGAGAGGCTCAGGGGTGGAACTTTGCATTTGGGTGACACCAGACTCTGGTGCAGCCCTTGCAGGGCTCGTTCCTACCCTCACCCCATCCTCAGCTCACTGGTGGGTGCACAAAGCTCTGCACAAAGCTGGATTTCAGAGTAGGTTGGGTTTATAATCCTGGGAGGAAAGAATCAAGCCTTGGAAGAGATCACTTGTGTGCCTCAGGACAGATAAGTTGGATTTACAGTTGCAGGCACAATCTCAAAGTAAATAGAAACATTCCCATTGGCTTGGGATCAGCCCTGACTCATGAGCGAAAACATCTTTGGAGGTAAAGCAGAATGTTTGGAGAGCGGTTTGCTGCTCTAACTTAAAGTTTATATATTGCTTCCTGCTGTGTTACAGAGATGACACTTCCAGCTTTTCCTGCTGAAATGAGCTGTGTGAGTCAGTGAAAATGCATTTTCCCCCATTCCTTAACCTTCTCTCTCCCTAAGATCTATTCCCACTTTTAACAAACAGCTTCAGTCTCTACCCCAGGGCTCTTGGTGTTTAAGATTCTTATCCAGGCACTGAAGAGAAAATCATACAGAATGTGTTGTTTCATTTGTAGCTCTGCCCAGGGGAGCCCCAGCTCCAAGAAAAGTTACTTCATCCTCCCAAACCACCCTGAGAGATGGAGCAGCTCTGGCAGGTCCTGAGCAGCGCCAGCCCCACTGGGAGCTGGGGCACTGGGCACTGGCAGGGGGCTGGCAGGAGCTGCTCTGTGCCCCCACGCCAGGACTTGGCTCCCAGAGCCTGGGGGTTTGTGAGGAGCAGAGCCCGAGCTCACCGGGGCTCGTTTTGGCCACGGGTGCTGGGGCAGGGCTGGTCCTGAGGGCAAAGAGGGGCCCAGGCTGGTCCTGTGGGGCTGCCCCCACTGGGGCTGCCCATCCTGATCCATCCTATCCATCTTCATCCATCCTATCCATCCTATCCATGCCATGCCATGCCATGCCATGGATCCCATCCCATCCCATCCCCTCCCATCCCATCCCATTATCCCATTATCCCATCCCTCCCACCCCATCCTGGGCTGCAGCTGCTCGGGGGCCCTGCTGAGGGCTCAGTGCAGGTGTCTGGAGCTGGAGTTCAGGTTCTGGCACAGCTTTTGTTTCAGGGGGAGAAGTTCCTTCTCCTCCAAGACAATTCCAGCTGGTTAGGTCACTGAGTTTTCCTGCTGGCTTTTAACAAATCCAGAGCAGAGGAACCTCTGCGTGCCCGGAGCCAGGAGCAGCACAGGGCCAGGGCCAGGCTTTAGGCACAGCTCCGTGTCCTCGTGGCCACCAGCAGGAAACTTCAGCAGCAGCAGAACAATGCAGCGCCTGGGCTTGACCTCCCCGAGTGCCACAGCCACCCAAGCACCTCTGAGCTCTTCCAGATGTTCCTAGAGCACCCCAGGTAGTTCTGATCAAAGCCTTTTCAGCACTGGATGTTGCAGTGGAAGCCTGGCTGTTGCTCAGGGTCATCTGGGAGAGGAGCTGTCACTTTGGATTTCTTTTTCTTGCCTTTCTTGTAGCATGTGCAGGAGCTTTTCCACAAAACATGGATCAGGTTTGGTTTTGAAATCTTTGGGCTCATGAGCTAGATAATGATCCAGATGTGGGCTGGATAATCCACGTGGTGCTCAGCTAAAGAGGGTTATTTATTGCACCATACATTTTTAATGGCTTTATTAAACTTTGTGAATTTGTTAGGATTGAGGGTTTAGAGTTTAAGCCAAGCTATTTATTAACCTGGGAGAAATCTTCACCTGGCAATGCAAGCACGTGCAGGAGCAAAACCATGCAGGAATGGGAAAGAAAATTGCACTTCCCAGCACCCATTGTGTTCACCCACCTAGGTTTTAAAAAGTAAATTATTTTTTAAAGATATTTTAATAATGTGGCTTAGGAAAGCTCTTAGATTGAATAAAGAAAAGGCAACAATATAAATGTTAAATTTGCTCCAAGACTCATCCCTGAGCACGAAGCCAGGGCCACAGAAAAGCTCTTCAGTGGCAAAGGTTCAGGAGAGAGGAAGAAAGTTTCCATCATTGGATCCCAATCCTGCACCCACAGCAAGCAAAACTGAGGGGGGTGAATCCCACTGGGAACCTCCGGGAACCTGCAGCTCCTGAGCTGATCCTGGCTCAGATCCCCTGGTTAATTCTGGCAACCCTTCTGCTCAACCCCTGGCTCCTTGTGCTGGTCAGGGGAGCATCTCCAGCCCTGGGTCAGGGGAGTTCCTCCAGCCCCTAACAGCTCCAGTCTCTAACTGAGCTCATTCCCAGGCTCCACGAGCGCTCCAGGAGCTCCAGGAGCTGCAAAGGGATGCTCTGGGCTGGCACAAGGGCACTGCTGGTCCCAGGGCTGCAGAGGAGGGTGAGGAACCACAGGATGTGGGAGAGGAGGGTAGAGGAACCATGGGATGCAGGAGAAGAGGGTAAAGGAATCACGGGATGCAGGAGAGGAGCTCTGGAGCCAGGGGATGCAGAGGAGGAGGGTAAAGGATCCATGGGATGCAGGAGAGGAGGGTAAAGGATCCATGGGATGCAGGAGAGGAGCGTAAAGGAACCACGGGATGCAGGAGAGGAGCTCTGGAGCCAGGGGATGCAGGAGAGGAGCTCTGGAGCCAGGGGATGCAGGAAAGGAGCTCTGGAGCCAGGGGATGCAGGAGAGGAGCTCTGGAGCCAGGGGATGCAGGAAAGGAGCTCTGGAGCCAGGGGATGCAGAGCCCTGGGGCTGGAGCCAGCCCCAGCTCCCCTCAGCAGCCCCTCCAAGGACTCCAGCCGGCATTACTCACTCCTTTCCAGCTCCACAGCTCTCAGCCATGTGGCAGGAATTCAAGCGGGTGGAGCCCTCTTCCCTCTGGAAATATCTGATAAAAATCCCTTCCCTCCCCCTTTTCCTTCGCTCAGACAGGATGTGGGTGTGGGGCTGGGGGGCTGGGGGAGCCCCCCGAGCTGCCACACCAAAGCCCAGCTGTTTCTCCAAGGTTTTCCTTGGGGTTGGGGCCTCTCGGGCAGCCCAGCACCTTCCCGGGGCTGAGATTTCTCCTGGCTGGAGCAGCAGCCTCTAAAGGATTTTAAACTCGAGCAGCTGGAAGTTTTAAAGTCTCTTTTCCCTCTCCTGATATTCAGAACTTCCATAAGCGTTGCAAAAGGAGTGGAGGAAAGGAAGAACGTGTGAAAACGGCAGGAAAAGAGATTTCTCTGAAAATCAAGCTTGGCGGAGATGAATGAAAAGTATATAAAAAAGAAAGATGAAAGGTTAAGTAAAAGAAATAAAGAGTTTTTATTAGGTACAAATACAATCCATGCTCCCTTTTCCAGCCCTGAGACAAGCACAGGACAGCTCTCCATGTGCTTTATCCATCCCCACTTTTCCAGGACATGCTCCCAGCATCCTCCCAGGAGCTTGGGAGGGTCTGGGAGCAGCAGCCCACTCTGCAGACCGGGGGTGGCTGTAAACCTCTCCCGTGCTCCTGGAAACTCAGGCAGAGCCCCAGAGATCGGGGCAGAGGCCAGGAGAGCATTTCCAGGGGATTTGCTGCCTTCCAGGTTGCGTTTCCCAGGGGATTCTCTCCTGTGGGGTCGGATCCCAGACCCTGAGCTCCGTCCTGCCCCACCACATCCACACCCCACATCTGTGGGACCCCTGCCCCTGTCCCAGTGGGGCACGAGGGGTTTTTCCTATAAAACACGTGGCCACAGCCGGAGGTGTCCTGGGAGCAGGAGGAGCCCGCTGCTCCCACCCTCGGCAGCGCTGCCAGGAGCAGCTTGAGCCCAAAGCCACAGGATCGGGATTTCCATGGGAATTGCACAACCGGAGCCTTTGATGGATTCTCTGGGACTCCCCACGGAGCTGAGGAACAGGCAGAGCCCCAGGGATGAGCTGCCTGACTTCTCCCAGCAGCTACAACCAACTCCTGCACTTCCCAGCCAGGAATATCCTGCAGGAATGACGGCCATGGGCTGTGCAAGGACATCAATTAATCCTGCAGCATCAAAGCCCCTGCTGCCCAATAGCTCTGCCCTTCCAAAATCTGAACTTTTTATCACTTTTCCACCACTTTTGTTTTGTACAAGGAGCTCAAGGTTTGGAACTCGAGGTTTGAGGCTCAAGGTTTGCCTCACGCCTTTGTCTCACACCCTCACAGCCCTGAATGTCATTTTACTCAAATAAAATTGGGTTTTTTTTTTCAATTCCTGTAAAATTAACACAGGCTGGAGGGTCAGCCAGCAGCTCAGGTGAGCAATTTACCTGGGCAGCCAGGGGAACACGAAAGGAGCTCTGTGAAACAGGAGAACAAAACCCAGTGAATTCCTGCAATAGATCTCGTCGCTCACATTTGTGTGAGTAAGAAAAAAATCACATTTGAGGAGACACCCGCAGGCTCCTGGCTCCTGTCCCAGCACACCAGGCAACACACAGAGCGCTGCTTCACTTTTTTAGTCCTTTTTTATTACCTCATGGCTGTTGGGTTTGGGACAAAAGTGATAATATTTCCCTAAAATATAACCCTTTAAAAAGTAGCACCTAGAGAAAAATCTCGGTGCTGTTATTCATTGCTTCATATGATGAATATTTGAAGAGCTGCAATAGGAGATTTTAATATTTATGGAGATTCATTTGATTTCCAGCAAATGTTTAGTTCCAACCACAAAACAAAAGCGTGGCTCATTTACACCAGCGAGACAACTTGAACTGCGGCTGCACTCTTTTCCTGCTGCATTCCCATCCCCTCTCCTTATCCAGGATTTTTTTAGGGAGTTCAGATCCCCATCCCTGCCCTTTCCAGAGCAGCAGTGAGTTTCTTCCCCCGGGGATGCCGATGCAAACGCTGCTCTGTAAATGTCACCGCAGGGTTTTTGGGTGGGAATCCCAAAAGTTCGGATCCCAAACTCCTGGAGGAGCCTCTTCCCCCGGAGCTGCTGCTGGCAGGAGCTGCCCCACGCCGCTGTCCCTGCTGTGACTTTGGGGGTCAGTACTCACCAGCCAGCTCCAGCACGCAGATGGTGATGCCCAGGAGCTGCCTCCACTTCATGGCTGTGGGAATTCCCAAAAGCGGCGTTCCCCGCTCCCAAAAAAGCGCCGCTTTTGGGGCCCGGGCTCCTCAGTCCTGCAGCAGCTCTGAGCTCATGCGGCTTTGCTTGGAGTTCAAGCCTTTGAGATCACTCACTTTGTGGGGTGGGTTTCTCTTCAGGGGTTGTGCTTGTGGTCCGGGACTGCGAGGTGGAGTTTCTCCGCTTTGATTTCCCAGTTTTATATAGTTCATGGCAAGCTCACTATCACTTAGGTAATTTTCTCCTCCCCACTTTCCTGCCAGCAGCTTCAAAACAAACAAAAGATCAGCCCTCTCCCCAGCGAAGGATCCCAAAGGCTGGCCGGGATTAACTCTTTCCTGAGAGCTGCTGCTTTCCTGGCCGGGGGAGGGCAGGGACGGAGCCTGATCCAGCTGGATGCAGGGATTGAGCCTGGGCTTCCCTCCGAGCAGGGCAAGCACAGCCCGAGGAGCTCAGGGATGGGGGAAGCCCCAGGTGCAGCCCAGCAAACCCCAGGGGCGGTCCCAGCCCCGTGGAAAACAGGGGAATGCTCAAGATAGGCTTCAGGATCAGGGATTTTCTCAGCAAATGAAGCGAGGAGCTCAAGGATGTGGGATCATCGCTGACCTGAAGTCACTCCATTAACTCCACTGCACGAGTGAGATGGGTTGGAGGAGGGCTGGGGCAGAGAAAAGCCACAGGCAAAATCTTTGGCATTAAAACTGGAGCAGGAGCAGGACAGGAGAGCAAGAACTTCCCCGAGCTCGTTAGGAAAGCGGTGTGGGAGCCCCGAGAGCGGCACAGAACACCGGCTGCAGCTCTGAGCTCAGCAAGGGGAGCTGGGCTCTCTGCTTCTGCACTGCACACACGTGGGACCAGCTCAGGAAGGGCAGGACCAGGGATGCTCTGCATCCTCACATGGGAATGGCCATCCCTGGGATGTTCCAGGCCACGCTGGATGGGATTTGGAGCAGCCTGGGGTAGTGGATGGGATTTGGAGCAGCCTGGGTTCCATGGCAGGGAGTGGAATGAGAGGATCCTTCAAACCCCGTCCAACCCAAACCAGTCTGGGGGTCAAACTTTGGCCTTTGGGTATAAAAAACCAGGAGATGAATACTTGGGAAACTCAACTCCAGTCTTAATTCCATCTTCTCTTTTACAGCTGGGTGTACTGAAGGAGTCATTGGGAACAGGAAATCGAAAAGTGAGGTGGACAGGAAAAAAAGCTGTGGAAAGAAGGATGAGGAAGCTCTTACTCAGTGTATTATCTTTTTGTGGGTGCTCCTGTGACACTCCTACAGTCACAGAATCACAGAAACTGGTTTGGGTTTGAAGGGAGCTAAAATCTCATTCCAAGCCCCTGCCCTGGGCAGGAATGGCCATCATTTGGTGACAGCCAGCAAAGGATTAAAAAGCACAAAAAACCCCAGGATGGTGTTACCTACAAAGAAATCCTCAAATAATATTTCCACATTTATTGTGGGACAAAACTCCAGTAGCTTTTGCCTTTAGCATGGTACAGGAGTTGGATGAGATGGTGTTTAAACGTCCCTTCCAACTCAAAGCATTCTGTGATTCTGTGGCAGGAAAATGTTTCTTGGAAGGAAACATCTGCAGCTCAGCAAAGGGCTCCGACATCTATATAAAGATTTCTATTATGTTCAGTAATCTATTACTGACTGACAGAGACACACAGCTCTATTAAAGGCCAAAATATCCCGGAAAAATGTGATTTAAAACCTGAGTGTAGGCACAGCCCTGCTGACTCCAACAGCTCCCACCAAGAATTTCCCCTTTTTTCCCTTTTTTCCCTTTTTTCCTCCCTCAAACAGACACGCACACATTGGGAAGCGCCTGACTCAGTGTGTAACCAGGTTTTACATTGCATATCAGCCCAGAAAATGAATTCAGAGATGAAATGTGAAAGGCAGAGTGAGACAAGAGTCTTATTTAAATAACAGATATGTTTTTGTCTATGAAAGTGAGAATTTGGGTTGAATAACATGACTGGAAATCAGAGTGATCGATTCATAGAGGAGTTTGGGTTGAAAAGGACATTAAAGACCATCCCATTCCCCCCCCTGCCGTGGACAGGGACACTTTCCATAGCCCAGGCTGCTCCTGGATGAAAGAAACCAACGGGATCATCCGGGTTTGGCTGCTGGGTTTGTCTCACCTTTCAAAACCAGACCAGAAATAGCGAGCTGGACTAAAATTAGGCCGTGGCTGGGTCTGGCAGACACCGTGCACGGGAAGCTCATGGGTTTGGTTTCCAGTGGAAGCTGGTTTGCATTGGAACGACGTTCCCTGTGTCAGAGATGTGGGATTTCATTCCTATTTATGCACTTCCCGTGTCAGAGCATCCCACAGAGCTCCTTTTGGGAGAGTGGCTCAGCTAAGCACAGGGAAATCCAACATTTCCTCAAAGGAAGAGCCACAAACCCACAAAATAAGTGACTTATTGAGATAATTCCCTAGCTGAATGCGCTGTCCTCAGAGGATTTCCATGGACTGACCCAGGGATGCTTCCCCCCATGAACCTCTCAGGTTTTTGAGCCTGCACATTCCCGTGCTGCAGGAATTGCTGTGCTGGACACGGGGCACGGGCTGCTGGCAGCGGGACCCTGCTTCCCCCCACAGCTGACAAAAATCTGACCCAGCCTAGCAAAGAGCAGGCCAGGCTTTGTTGTTGTGCACACACCTCCCAGCATATCCTGAATATCCTAAATATCCAGCTGTGACCAGGCCCTCCAGTTATTTCTGTTTATTCCATGAGTGGGAGGCACCACCTTTTTCTCATGGATACAACCCTCCCTTTAAACCCGTTCAAAGTGACTCCAGCAAACCCTGCAGGATTATTTCCTTTCTCTCAGAGCCCCAACACCTTTTTTATGGCCAGAAATGGCAAGACCACAATAAGGAACATGCCCTTGAATTATCTCGCAGCACTCAGCATCAGCTGTATCAGGTTAACAACGCCTGAGCCAATTCCAACCCAACATTTACGGGATCGAGCGTCCAAATTCCGTCCGGCACGGCCGTGAGGGCTCGCTCACACGGGGCTGGGATTTTGTCCAAGTGTTTAAGGGTGATTGAATTTAATTGTGAGTGATGCAATAGACATATGGCTGGGAAGCTATATGCCAGGAAACATGTTTTCTATAAGTATTTTAGCAGGCAGATGGCACACAATGGTTTCGGTGCGGTCATTTCCTCACCTCCTAAAAGTTACTATTTGGGACAGATGAAGTAATCCCATTCCCACCGTCCTCCCAAGGCAGCAGCACTGCTGACCCAGAGGATGTGCAGTGTTCGAGGGCTATTTCTGTGCAAAATCAAATAAATCAACCTTGCACCCACCTCCCCCTTGCCATTCACGGGTTTCAAAGCAGTTTAATAACTTTCCTACTTAAACTGGAGCGAGTAATAACTCTCCACAGCACTCCCAAGGCACGGGGAGGCGCTTGGAGCAGGGCCACGCCACGGGGAAACCCCAAAAGACACAAATTCTGCATCCCAACCCTCAGCCCGAGCAAGCAGAGTGCCCCATTCCCAGACAGAGCAGCTCCCTCTCCTACCTCCAGCACGCTCAGCCCCCAAAAACTGCTGGTGGAGGAGGAGGAGATGCTGCAGGAGGAGATCCAGCTCTGGGGAATGGTGGACAGCCAGAGAAGAGCATGGAGCTGCAAATAAAATGGGATTTAGTGAAGTTTGGGTTGTTTCTCCTAGGAAGATGCTGTTGGGATCACATCTGCTTTGGCACAGCATCAAATCCTGCCCAGGGCTGAGCAAGGACAGCTCCTGTCCCTGCAGGGGAGCACAAACTCTGCTCTGAGCAGGCAATTCCTGAGGGAAAAACTGATGGGGTTCAGCTCCTGAGGGATGGACTGATGGGGTTCAGATCCTGAGGGATGGACTGATGGGGTTCAGCTCCTGAGGGAAAAACTGATGGGGTTCAGATCCTGAGGGATGGACTGATGGGGTTCAGATCCTGAGGGATGGACTGATGGGGTTCAGCTCCTGAGGGAAAAACTGATGGGGTTCAGATCCTGAGGGAAAAACTGATGGGGTTCAGATCCTGAGGGATGGACTGATGGGGTTCAGTTCCTGAGGGATGAACTGATGGGGTTCAGATCCTGAGGGAAAAACTGATGTGGTTCAGTTCCTGAGGGAAAAACTGATGAGATTCTGTTCCTGAGGGAAAAACTGATGGGGTTCACCTAAAGAAGGTCAAAGAGCCCCAAAGCTGCCCCTGATATCATCATCCTCATTGTGATCTCCTTAAGAACTTGTCATCCCTTTGTTTTATCGTGCTGGGATCTGCAGGGTGGTGTAATCATACAGTAACTGTCGGGGCAGGAAATGCTTCCTTCAGAAACTCCATCCCGAGCCTCCTGCAGGCCATCCTTTGTGGGAAGGCAGCTCTGGAGAGGCTGCTGCCTCAATTTCTGCACCAGAGTGTCCTGAAGGCCCTGGGAGCGCCCTGGGCACGCTGCCCTCCTGCACAGGGAGACTAAAAGCTCTACCTGAATCCTTCCTTTTTTCTCCTCCAGGCATTCCCAGGCCTTCAGTGAGAGCCATTCCCCTCACAGCGCCAAAAACACAACTTGAGGAGAATTTGAGGGGCTTTTTGAGTTTCAGAGCTGCTGCTGGATTTCCTTGTTCCCTCTGCTGGCGCTTTTGCTGCGCTGGTGGGGAGATATCATCTCCATGGACCTCCTTCTTCCCGTCTCAAATCCAGGAGGGATTCCTTCCCAGCACAACAAAGGGCTTTATTTAGCCCTGCTGCTGGTGCTTTCCTGCCTGTGCTGCTCCATGTGCCACCAACTGTTTCCAGGTCACTCCAGGAAGGGAGCATCTCCCGGCCCTGTGCCCATCCTGTGCCAGAATTCCCTTTTTTCCCACCCAAAGGCCAATTCCTGCCGCTGGGAAAAGCTTCCCCTCCTTTTTGCCCCTTCTCGCCTTGTTTTTCGAGGCCATTCCTCCTGACTCGTTCCACCTCCGGTGTTGTCGCTGGAGAATATTCCTCTGGGGAAGAATTCCACGGAAAAACGCTGAAGTGCCTTGATTTCCATGGCAGCCTGCCCCTTACAGCGGGATTGAAGAGCGGGAATCACCCACGAAGCGCCGAGCACGCAGGAGGCGCTAAATGAGCATCGCCTCCGTTAGATCTGAACCAACAGAGTAAAACTTCC